GCGAGTCTATGCAGGACACGCCAGACACGGCGGGCATGCGCGCCCGCGGACGTGGACGAGCTCTGTGAGTCGGAGGCTCGCGTGAGCTGCAGCGGGGGCGGCGTCCTCCCACCAGATGCGAATGACCGCCATAAGAAAGGAGCTACGGAAGAGCAGATTGCGGCCGCATTCGATGTCAACTGGACTGCACAACCTGATTCAACCAAGTGATATATCAGAGGGGGCCGAACGGTCATTTACTGTCCCTGGGTGCGTGGCTGAAATTGGATTCCGCGTTGGGGAGTATTGGTGGTGTTGGTGGTGGTTGTGTTGTGTGTTGTTGGTTGTTGGTTGTTGGTTGTTGGTTGTTTGTTGGTTGTCGGTTATTGGTTGTTATTTATGTGATGCTTGGTGTTATGTGTTGTTTGTTGTTGTTGCTGCTGTTGTTGGTATTGGTATGTGTTGTTTGTACTCTGTTGTTTGTTGCTTGTTGTTTGGTGTTTGTTTGGTGCTTGTTGTGTTTGTGTGTGTGTGTTGTGCTTGTTGTTGTCGTTGTTGTTGGTGTTGCTGTTGTTGATGTTGTTGGTGATATTGTTGCTGGTGTTGCTCTTTGGTGTTGTCGTCGTCCCGCCCGCGACCTGGCCTGCGACGTACCCGCCCGCGACCCGCCCGCGACCCACCCGCGACCCACGCGCGGCCCACCGGCGATCCACCCGCGACCCACCTGCGACCCACCTGCAACCCACCCGCGACCCACCCCGCGACCCACTCGCGACTCGTCCGCGACCCATCCGCGACCCACCCCGCGCCCGCCCCCTCACTCTTATCCGCAACTGCGGGTTGCTACGTATATCCCTATTCAGATTCTATTGATAAGGCCAAGGGCCCTGGAAAAAAGTCTCACCACCACCACCCCTAACGAATTTGGCCCACCCTGGGCCTGTCGGGCAACCCTCAAAACGACCCAGGAGAAACCCACGAAAGCCCGAAGACGGCCCCAGAGGGCTCCAAGCGTTCCCGCGCGCTCCCGAAGCGACCCCAGGGAACCCCAAGACGGTCCACGACGACCCCATAGAAGCCGTCATACCCCCAAAGATCGCTCACAAACGTCCCAAGAGCCGTGGCACTCCCAAGAATGCCCCAAGAGGCTTAATTCGCTGATTTTCTTTAGGTTTCGATGAATTTGGGGGTTCTCCTCTTCGGCTTCCCGACGCTCCAAGACGGCGGTTTCCTGGGCGTCCGAAGACGCGTGAGAGACTCGAAAATCGCCCATGAACCATCGGAAACAACTTCCAAGCAGTCCAAGTGAGCCCCAAGATGGCACAACAGGGTTCCAAGTTGGCCTAAGGGAGCCCAGCCCCATGACGGCCCAAGGTGGCCCCAAGACCCCCTCCGAAGCATTCCAAATCGTGACCCGGTCGTTCAGGGAGACCGCGGTTGGAGGCAGGGTGGCCCGAGAAAGCCCCAAGAGGCCCCCAGAAGACACCTGGGAGGCCTCCAGAAGGCCTTACGAGAGCTTGAAAAACTGTTGCGAGGCCCCCAGAGGTTCTCAAAGTAGGAACCTCCGCAAAACGAGCTGAGGAGGATGGGGAGAATACTCTGGATATGGAAATAATTATAAAAAAGAAGCATGGATCAAGGAAAACGAATTACATTACTATAGCATTATAGAGGCGATGCCAGACAAGGCAACAAGGAGTTATCGCTAAATTGTCGGCTGGAACTTCCTGCCATTCCGCCTGCATACCAACCTACAAGGACCAAGGTGCATGGCGCAAAGCGCCATTGCAGTATTGCTCCTGCTCCCATATCTTGAATACCCGGACCGCCCCGCACCCCAACCTTTATTACCCTGACCTCTCCCCCCCCACCCCCCCCACCCCAAAACTCCCCCCCCCCCCAGGGACGCCCCGGACGCCCTTTCGGACGTCTCGGCGGCCCCCGGGACGCCCTTGGAGAAGGTCCGTTGGCCCTTCTGGGCCTCCCAGGGCGCCCTGCCAGGCCTTGCGAGCAGACTAGCAGCGATCAGAGGGGTCATCGGAGAGGCGCAAGAAAGACCCAAGACAGCAAAAGAGCGCTCCAAGAAAAACTGTGATGGTCCGAAAACGGCCCACGAAGCCCCCAAGCCGTCCCAAGAGGCCGTGAAGAGGGCCCCGAAGAATCAAACATCGCCCTATTCCGTTAAGAAAATGTGTCTGTCCAGCATACCTGATTTTGGATCTTCGCAGCGCCCAATACGGCCCGATGGGCCCCCGATATCGCGCCAAGACGGCCCAAGGGGCCCCCCAGAAGGATTGAAGACGGCCCAGGGGGGCCCCGAGACTGCCTCAGAGAGCCCCGAAACTGCCCACAAGAAACACAAGATGCCCCCAGAGCAACGGAAGCTATAAAAGACCCCTAAGACGGCCATTGAAAGCCCCCAAGAGGGCCCTAAATGGTTTCAGAAGACCCGGGAGGGCCAAAGCCATGACGGCCCCCGAAAAAGGCCCCAGGACGGCCCAGTAGGGCCCCAGGACGGCCCAAAAGAGCTCCCAAAACGCCCAGACGGCGTTTTCCGCGCGCTCGCTACGCTCACGCCAGCCCACCTGTATTTCCCGTACCTCTGTCACCCCTCTTTTTATGTTTTTTTTTGTTAGTTCTCCCTCTCTCTCTCTCGCTCTCTCTCTCTCTCTCTCTTCCCCCCTTCTGCCCTCTTCGTCGACCTCCACGTTCGTGGCATCCGATGGCCGTACTCATTCGCCCGCTCCTTCTTCTGGACCTTCTCCCCGTTTCTCCCCCCTCCTCCCCCCTTCCGCCTCTTCAGCCCCCCCCTCATCCCTGCTCCCTCCCCGTTCCCCGTTCATGGACAGGTGCCATCGCAACAGTTTGATGCTTCGTCGTTTGCCAGCACCTTCGCGCGTGAAAAACATCATGTCTTCCCCACTCCTGCGCACAGGCGTGCAGGCGCATCGGGCGAACGCGGTGTCAGCAGGCACCAGGAAGATCAGAAAAATGAACCGGTCGCCCGTCCAGGCCTCGAGGTCCCTCCTCTCTGCTGAAGCCAGCGATGGGGAAGCGTCCGGAACAAGGCTCATGGCGCGTCATGCCAATGCAGCCTTGCATCTATATGTGTATGTGTGTATGTATGTATGTATGTATGTATGTATGTATGTATGCATGCATGCATGTATGTATGTATGTATGTGCGTGTATGTGCGTGTATGTATGTATGTATGTATGTATGTATGTATGTATGCATGCATGTATGTATATGCGTGTATGTATGTATGTATGTATGTATGCATGCATGTATGTATGTATGTATGTATATGTATATGTATATGTATATGTATATGTATATGTATATGTATATGTATATGTATATGTATATGTATATGTATATGTGTATGTGTATGTATGTATGTATGTATGTATGTATGTATGTATGTATGTATGTATGTATATGTATATGTGTATATATGTATGTATGTATGTATGTATGTATGCGTGCATGTATGTATGTATGTATGTATGTATGTATGTGTGTATGTATGTATGTGTGTATGTATGTATGTATGTATGCATGTATGTATGTATGTGTGTATGTTTGTGTGTATGTATGTATGTATTTATGTATGCATGCATGCATGCATGTATGTATGTATGTATGGCTGTGAACGGCGGTGATTCTGTACGTAATAATGTGCAACGTGATATATACATAGATATGGATATATATATATATATATGCGTATACATACACATCCATGTGTTCCATATCCCCTTTCTCTCTCTCTCTTTCACACTCTCTCTCTCTCTCTGGTGTGCAAGCGCTCTCTCTCTCTCTCGCTCTTTCATGTTCTCTCTCTCTCTCTCTCTGTACATCTTCACGTGTGTACGCATACGTCGCCAACGCTAACTACGCAGGCCTTGAATCTATATCTGTCTCTCTCTCTCTCTGTGTCTTTCTCTCTTTGACTGCCGATCCCCTTGCTCTACATATCCGTATCCCTCTCTCTCTGTCTCTCTTTCCCTCTCTCTCTCTATTTCTCTGTCTCTGTCTGTCTGTCTCTCCTTCTCTCTCTCTCTATTCGGACACATGTCAGAGTGGCCCTAGGTGAGCGCGACCTTTGGTGCGCGGCTTTAGGGGGCCGCGGAGGGGTGCGGAGGGTCAAATCACATCACACCAGCCAGTGCTCAGGGAATCGAATGGGCCACGTGTACCCGATCTCTGTTTCTGCCTGTCTGCTTGTCTGTTTGTCTGTCTGTCAGGCTGTCTTTTTCTTCTTGTTATGTTTTTTTTGTTTTTTTTCTCTCTCTCTCTCTCTCTCTGGGGATGCAACCATGAAGGATTGCGACCACCACCTGTCGAGGTCTCCGGAAATCGATCGTCCAGGCGGTGGTTATTTATCAATCCCCGCCTCGGAAGACAGGGGGAGACAGCAAATCAGCTTGGGCAGCTGGTTTTCCTGGCGCCCCCAGGCGAGCAGAGCGCCTGAGCGGCGGGGCCGACACCACAGGCATGCCGCAGATGACGCGCTTCCCCTCTACCGAAAATGACCCACTCCCCGTTCGTCCAGCCCGACGAGCGGCAGCAAGACCCCCAGACCTACGACGTCTCGACCTCTTCGGGCCGCGGGCCCCCAGAACTCCCGATCCCTCTGCAGGAACAGATCCGATAGATTGGTTCTCTGCACGGCCTTGGGGCCCGACGGCCTTCGGACGCCTAAGCAGAGGAAGAACAAAAAAACAAATGAACATAAACTTTTGACGCTCCGCGCGGACTTCTTGGATCTGCGCCAGCCCCCCCCCCCCCCCCCCCCCCCCCTCCCTGGCGCGCGGAGCGCGCCAGGGGCGGCGCCGGAGGCGCCGCCAGGGGGCCCAGGCGCGGATTCAAGAAATCCGCGCGGAGCGCAAAAAGTTCATGTTTATAGCGTTTTTCTTCTTCTTCTTCTTCGACTAAAGTTCTGATAAGCCTCTGACGCGACACGGCCGAGCCGTCCTAGGTCTGGGCCCCATCACCGGCCGCAGTCCCCGGGCGCCTTCAGAGGCCCGAAACTTCGGCGATGCGCGGGGCAAGGCCCGTGAGCTTCGATGGCCTCGCGGGGGCCGCCGGAGCCGACTCCGCGGATGGTGCCATGCCACCCCGCGCGCAATCTTCTTACGGTTGGTTCTCGTCCTCCTCCCTCTCGTTCTCCTCCTCGGGTCCTCCTCCTCATCCTCCTCGTGCTGCCCCTTCCTTCGCGGGCGAAAAGCATATCCATATCCGCGGCCTCGCGAGACAGGCCTCTGGGCCCCGATCCCGCGGATACAGAGCGTGGTTTCGCGGATGCCCCGCGCGGAACGGATCTGTGCGACCGCGAGGGACCGCGCTCAGGAATCCAGACCGCGAAGGCGTAAGATAAGGATATGCTTGTCGCTCGTGACTTGTCCATTCTGCCCACTTGCCATCGCTCGGACGTCCATTCCCCGTGCTTGTTTCGGTTTCGGGCGGGTTCTTCTCTCCGCTGGATGATCCGATGTGATCCTAGATTTTGGTCGGGCGTGTCCCCCTACAGGTGGATTTTGGACGAAAGAAAAATACCAAAACAGATTCAAACAAATACGCAAAAATAGTTACAAAATCGCCCCCTGACATTTTTTAACTATTTTTGAATAGTCCCCCTGTAGAGGGACAGACCCGACTTGATCCTAGGTGGTCCAGAGGTGCTGGCGCTGGCCTCGCCGAAGGCACGGTGCACACGTCCAAGCGCTGCCGAGCCCCCGTTCCTCTCCCCGGTCATCACCAGGAGCGCTGCTCTCCTCCCTCCTCGGGGGCGCACTGACCTTAAGTCGGGCGTGTCCCTCTACAGGGGGAAAAATTCAACAAATAGTTAAAACATAGGCTGGGGACTTTTTTTTAACCAAAAAAACCATGGGCGTATTGTTGTTGGTATGTTTCATTGTTCGTCCAAAATTCGCCTGTAGGGGGACACGCCCACCTAACACTGACCCGAGTCAATCCATGCCGGGTCAGTCGGGCTTTGCAGGATCCTGCAGGATACTGCGCACTAGCCCTGGCCAGTGCAGTCCTGGCTCTGCGGGGTCCTCAGGGTCCGGCGCTCTGGCTGACCCCTGGTTGCATTGACCCCCGCCCCAAGGCTCCCGACCTCCCCTGGCCGTCATCCGTCGTGGCGCCGCCGCTCCCGCGCACACAGTTTTCACCCACGCCAGAGGTCATGATCTGACGCAGCACGGGCGTCTGCTCCATCGGGACGTCGTCTTTGAAGGGGAACTGGGACACACAAATAAATACGCACAAATAAAATAATCCCCCATATTGTCCCATATATTCTGGGTTCTTGTCTTCCCCCCCACTTCCCATATTTTCCCATATTTTCTGGGAATCGCCGATTAATTGTGTCTGTGTGTTTTTTCCCCTCCTGAGTCTTGGTCCTTCGAAGAGGTTCCCGCAGCCCTGGCCACGCTTCAAGATCGGTGCTCCGCCCCCGCCGTTCCGAATGGCCCTCCCGCCCCAGCACGAGCCGCGCTTCGGGAGCCGATGGCTTCCTCGTCGTCACCGTCCCCCATCCTCTCCAAATCCTCCGTCTCCCCTGATACTCCTGCTGCTCCTCCTCCTGCTCGTGCTCTGGTCCTCCTGCCTCTTTCTCCTCCTCCTCCTCTTTCTCCTCTTTCTCCTCCTCCTCCTCCTCCTCCTCCTCCTCCTCCTACTTGTCTGCATCCTCCTCCCCCAATTTACTACGAAAGCCTCCGACGACGAGTGAGATCACGCAGATGCCATGTGGGGATCAAGAGGCGATACGGGCGAGAGGTTGGAGTGGTAGGATGCCAGATGTGGCGCGAGCGCACCCAGCTTGCGTCTCCCCTCTCTCATGCTGCATTCATTCCCTCTCTCCCCTCTTCCCCAGGTCGGACACTGCAAAAAGTGCCACTGGGCCAAGGTGCCCCCCTTTTTGCTGCCTTCGTTGCTTGCGCTGCTGGGGAATCCAAGCGGATGTTTCAATCATCCAAGGGCAACTTCACAATCCTCATTTGAGATTCGCACACAAACGCTGGGGACAAAGAGCGCGGGAAACGGTATACACGTTTGACTGAAGGGGGCCGAGCGGTTTTGCACCATGCCTGGGTGCATGGGTGACATGAGACTCCGTTTGTTGTCTAATGTTGTCGTCGTCCCCCCCGCGACCCACCTGCCACTTACCCGCCGCGACCGACCCTGCGACCCACCAACCACCCACCCCGCGCCTGCCCCCTCACTCTGATCCGCAATAGCGGGGTGCTTCGCATATGTATAGGCGTTTCTCGTCACCCAACCGTGATGCTTTGTGTCGCAGTGCCGAGCCGTACACGCCGTCCCATTCAGAATACAGAGACGATGTAAGCGACGCTGCCACCATGGGCGCCCTGCCATGGCCGCAGCTTCAGCCCGAGAGCCGTGCACCCATGAGGTACGCCGCATAATGGCCCTGAGCATCCATGCGTAGCCACGGCCTGAGGCACGTGACCATGACCACTCGCAGGCAAGGGTCAAGACCCCTGATGGCTGCACGGACTACGGCCCGCCAGCACCTGCCAAGCAGCCGTGCCCCCCTCGGGACACGACAGATCCCCAACACCCTTTCAGCTTGCCCTTGACTGCGACACTCCCCCAAGAACCGGCACGGTGGTCGCAATGAGCGCGGGCAGGCAGGCCACAGCATTGCGAAGCCGACGCTGCCTCCACACATGTCAGCAATATGAGCCTGGGCCTGGTCCGCACAAATCCTGGCAGTTTTGGGATCCCGCCACCTGCCCAACTCCTGGGCCAATGCGTACGAACCGCATTTCATGTTTCAGTTCGCCCTGCCTCCGCGGAGGCAGTACGGTGTGAGATACCCAACGAACGACGCAATGTCGTGCAGCTTAGCTTGAAAAGCCTTGTGGCCACCAGGGAACACCAATGCTGCAAGCTCCAAACCTTTGATAACTAGCAAACTGCATGAGCATGATCACGGCACGGTCGTAGGGGGGGCTCTCACGCCATACAGGCCCGGGAAGGGGGAAGGGGAGGGGGGCGGGGAGCTCGCTCAAGCTTCACTCTGTGCTCTGTCGGGAGGGGGGGCTGACGCCATGGCTGACGCCATTCAGGCACGGGAGGAGGGAGTAGGGGGGGGTGGGCTGACGCCATGGATGACGCCATTCAGGCCCGGGAAGGGGGAGGGGGGGGGGAGCTCGCTCAAGCTTCGCTTTGTCGGGGGGGGAGGGGGCTGACGCCATACCTGACGCCATTCAGGCCCAGGAGAGGGGAGGGGGGGGGGAGATTCAAGCCAGGGAGGAGAAAGTCGGGGGGGGGAGGCGTGACGCCATGGCTGACGCCATTCAGGGGGGGAGGGGGGGGGATGGCTGACGCCATGGCTGACGCGGGAGGAGGGAGGGGGGGGGGGAGGGAGCTAAAGCTTGAATGTGTGTAGGGGGGGCGGGCATGACGCCATTGCTGACTCCATTCAGGCTTGGGAGAGGAGAGGCGGGGGAGGGGGGCCGACGCCATGGCTGACGCCATTCACGCCCGAAGAGGGCTCCAAGACGGCCCAAGAAGCCCGGAGGAGGCCCCCCAAAAGCACCCAAAATATTCAAAAACTTCCTCCAGCGCGCCCGCAAGAAGCCCCCAGGATGCCTCCAAAAAGCCCCCCGAGAAGCTCAGGAGCGCCCCCCCAAGGTGTCATACATCAGCTACGTCAACATCCCATGAGTTTGGCTGTTCACGCGAGATTGTCACTTTCGAATGTCCGAAGGTTGCCCAAGCGAGTTCAACATCTCTATATTATGAGGATGTCTCGAGCGAGTGCTCTACTTTAAAGCGTAAGAGGTCATCCGTTACAAGCAGAATCGCTAGCACCCCGGATCGGCGGCACTGGCTGGAGTCCACTGCAATCACTCGTAGTCCTCATCCTCCAACGCCTCCACCTCCGAACTCCCCCTCCTCCTCGGAGACGCCCCCTCGATGGTATCCTCGACGGTCCCCTCCTCAGCGGTGGGCCCACCAACCGCCTGCAACTCGCGACTATCTTCACACTCAGCCCAGTGGAAGCGAATGACCGTCGGAGAGTCGGTCGGAATCCGAGGCGGCTGGGTGTTCCCGGGGGCCATATCTTTGGACAAGGGGAGCGCGCGTGTCCTTCGCACAGTGCGCGTCCACAGCGTGAAATGATGCGACGCCGTGTCCAGTTTCCGGCGGCACCGCGGCTACAGACCCTTTTTGCCGCATAAGAATCGTTCGCCCAGCCAAGGGGATAATCATCTTGAAATAAATGATTGATGAATTCGGCTGCCTCGTTGTCCAAATCGTCCAACGAACTAGGCAGTGATTGGCCAACCGAATCAAGGTAAGTCAAGAAGCGCTGAAGAGCGTGACGGTAGCGAGCTAAATATGGCGAGCTGCAGTTCTGCCAAGTTCAAACGTTGAGGTTTTAGCCCCATGGTACTACGCGTCCGACCTGGACGCTTTGTAAGCAACCGGCCCTTACACGAATTTCCGTGCGCAGTGCAGCTGGCTGGCTGCATCAGCGTAGTTCCATGAACACGAGGCCCCAAGGACCGCCCCGGGAGGGCCCCGAGGCGGCCCAAGCGGCCTCCAAAACACCCAAAATGGCTTCCAAGACGGCCCTGAAGCGCCCCAGGAGGGCCTCCAGTCGGCCCAAATAGGCCCCCAAGACAGTTTCCGACGGCACCAGACGGACCTGGAGTCCACCAAGACGGCCCAAGCTGGCTCTAAGATGGCCCAAGACGGCCCAAGAGGCCCCCAAGAGGCCTCCAAGACGGCCCAAGAGGCCTCCAAGAGGGCCTCCGGGAAGGCCCGAAGAGGCCAAAATGTTGGATTGTCCTTGAGTGCTTGAATGATTTTCGCATTTGCTTCTTTTCGGCCTTCCGACGGCACGAGACGGCCCAAGAGCCCCAAAAGATCGCCCCAAGATCGCCCAAGAGGCCTCCAAGATGGCCCCAGAACGGCCCAAGAGGCCCGCAAGACCGCCCCAGGAGGGCCCCAAGACGGCCCTGGAGCACCCCAAGAGGGACTCAGTCGGCCCAGAGAGGCCATCTGAGACAGCGGAAGCATGCGTACCCAGGAAGGCAGAAATGTGGCCTAGAAATCTGTTGTAAAACTCTAGCCATAGCATGTGGATTTCAAATCGTGTTTTTGTGTTGCATCATGGGCCACGTTTGTTCTCGCGCCCCATCGTCTGGCAATGCCAAACCGTATATGTGCGCAATTGCAGAATCATGCGTACCCAGGAGGGCGATAATGTGCACAAGAAACCGCTGGTTGAATTCCAGTCAGTGCATGCGGACTTCGACTTGTATCGTTTGGCCTCGCACGCAGTTTTTGGTTCTCGCGCCTCATCGCACGGCAATAGCGATACCTGACCTTTTCGCATTCGCGGAAGCATGCGCAAACACGAGGGCGGACATGTGGTCAACAAATCGTTGGCCCAGTTCCTGATGGAGGCTCTCAGGCGCTCAGGGGCCGGCGCTTGAGCGCTCGGGCGCTCAGGAGCCTCTGCAAAACGCTCGGGCACTCAGACCCTGCTGGGCGCTCAGGCGCTCAGAAGCCCCTGCAGAACGCCCAGGCGCGTTGAGGCGTTCGGAAGCCTCTGCAAGGCACCCAGGCGCTCAGAAGCGTCTGCAGAACGCTCAGGCGCTCAGATGCCTCTGCAGAACGCTCAGGCGCTCAGAAGCCTCTGCAGAGCGCTCAGAAGCCTATGCAGAGCACTCACGCGCTCGGAAGCCTCTGCAAAGCGCTCAGGCGCTCAGAACCCTCTGCAGAGCGATCAGGCGCTCAGAAGCCTCTGCAGAGCGTGCAGGCGCTCAGGAGCCTCTGCAAAACGCTGAAGCGCTCAGAAGCCTTTGCAGAACGCTCAGGCGCTCAGAAGCCTTTGCAAAGCGCTCAGGAGCTCAGAAGCATCTGCAAAGCGCTTAGGCGCTCAGATGCCCCTGCAGAATGCTCGGGCGCTCAGAAGCCTCAGACGCTTCTGCAGAGCGCGCATGCGCTCCTGAAGGCTGGTTGTAAAGTGGCCGTTCTGGTTGCAAAGAGCCCCGTATGGGTTGTAAAGTGGTCGCTCTGGTAATGTGGGTTGCTCTGGTTGCAAAGTGGTCGTTCTCAAAGGAAAACCATGGATTTCGATCCTTTGCTGGTTGTAAAGTGACCTATCTCGGTTGTAAAGTGTCATTCTGGTTGTAAGGGGACCGAATCTCGGAGGGACAGGGGGGGGACAGGGTACAAGAGGGGGGTGTCACAGGTCAAATTGCCGCCACCAAGGGTCCTGGCGGCCCCTTCTCCCCTCTCCGGTCCCCGCTGTGCACAAGGATTACAGCAAGGGGGCCTCCCCCTTGTGGGACAGGTCCTGGGGGGGGGGACCTGGGGGAGGTCCCGCGTGTGGTGGGGAAGGGCAGTCCCAGGTCTGAATACCGCACCCCCCCCTCCTCCCCCCCAAGGGTCCAGGCTGGTCCCTGGGGTGGGGGCGCCAACGGGGGTCCCGGGGGAGGCCGGAAGGCCTTCACAATAGGGCCAACAACGGCGGGTGACTGGCTCAGGCGGGGGGGGGGACATCGACCTGGATTCGGTAATGCATCGCCGATTGGCACTCGATGGCAAATCCGAGCGTTCCTGGGCGGGGTGGGCTATATCGGATCCCTATCGGCGATGCATGGGCGATTGGGGGTTGTTGCATCCCCCCGCACGTTCCCCCTGACGAATTGGCTACGGAAAAAAAGGCAGGATGCCCAACAAGCCGACAGCGGCCGCTGTTTGGCAGGCGACGCTTGCCATAAATGGGCGACGTCCGCGGCGACACTGACAGCGAGTCCTGTTCAAGATGGGCAGGAGCTTTCCGTATCCAGTTGTTTCTATCTACCTGAATCCCAAAAAGCGTGCTTCAAGGCAGACATTTTCGCCCGCTGGCTTCTGCTTGTTGACCCGCCGCCGTTCCGCCGGCTTGTCGCCGCCTTGCGCCAGAGTGAAAACTTCGACTCTACGTCGATCCCTCGAAAGCGAGAGCCTCTCTGGAGCGCCACATCTCGACCGAACCGTGCGGAGAGGAACAAGGTTCGGAAAAGAACAATCAAGCTAATCATAAACTTTCGGATGTCAGCGCAGATTTCTGGGATCGGCGCTGGACCCCTTCCCTGGCGAGCTAAGCGCGCCAGGGGCGGCGCCTGAGGCGCCCGAGGCGCGGACAGAAGGGTCCAGCGCCGACCCCAGAAATCCTCGCGGACCTCTGAAACCCATTCCTGTTTATGCAAACTGTTTGGAGGCCAACCAGTAGGGACCAACGTAGACGGGGTCGGAGGATCGCGCCGCATCGCCGATGCATCGGCAACGTCGGGGTGCAGAACATCCGACCCCACATCGAGCCGCATCGCGATGCACCGGCGATGCGGCACCACGACCTTCCGACCACCTGCTCTGGCCACCTTTGGAAGGCCTGGATCTTCGAAAGACGGAAGGTCCTCCAGGTGGGACTTCGTCCCGTACCCCTTGTGCTCCGCGAAGCCGAACTGCGGGTACTCCT